CCTACCATGTTTGCTACTTTGTATTGAAGTTGGGTATATATTCATTGATACCTACTATGTTTATCACTTTGTATTGAAGTTGACCATGTATTCATTGATACCTACTATGTTTATCACTTTGTATTGAAGTTGGGTATGTATTCATTGATACCTACTATGTTTATCACTTTGTATTGAAGTTGAGCATGTATTCACTGATACCTACCATGTTTATCACTTTGTATTGAAGTTGGGTATGTATTCACTGATACCTACTATGTTTATCACTTTGTATTGAAGTTGGGTATGTATTCATTGATACCTACTATGTTTATCACTTTGTATTGAAGTTGGGTATGTATTCATTGATACCTACCATGTTTATTACTTTGTATTGAAGTTGACCATGTATTCATTGATACCTACTATGTTTATCACTTTGTATTGAAGTTGACCATGTATTCATTGATACCTACTATGTTTATCACTTTGTATTGAAGTTCACCATGTATTCATTAATACCTACCACGTTTATTACTTTGTATTGAAGTTGGGTATGTATTCATTTATACCTACTATGTTTGTCACTTCTGTTTCAGGTAATGGATAGTACACTTGTTTTCCTCTGTGTCTGATGTACTTGTATTAAAAGCAAAAATGTAACAACTAACAGTATGACAAGACAAAGTACAATCAAATATTTCAGCTTACTTATTTAGTTTAGGGACAAATCGATCAACATTAGAGACAGCAAAAATATATCTGCCTCCAAATGGCTGAATAATTCCACCAGAAATCCACAGCTGATCTTTATGTACTGCTATTCCCATAGCCATTCGTGGACAACAGAGACATACATCTAACTCTTCCCATGCATTAAGACCTGGGTTGAACAATTCCACAGAAGAAATTAGCCTAAAAAAAGTGAAAACACCATAAATGGATAACCTACTATCTAAATTAGTACTCCACTAAATGCTGTCAAATGATCATTATAGTGAATTTCTTTGCCACATGGTCTAGTGTATAAATACAGGCGAACAAATTCTATTCTTCAATAAGTTATAAAAAAAATATACATAAACTACGATACATTATTATTTCCTTTCTTTTATCATCAGCTGACAAAAATAAAGATAATTAACCTTCTTTGTATTGGGCAATGACGACAAAATGTGTGATTCTGAACACAAAAACTGTAAGCAACAATTAACATATGCTTAGATACTACACATATTTTCCATGACATTTAATTCAACTAAAGAAAAACTAAGGTATCTCTAATAAATAAGACATTAGGTCTAGTTGCTTAAAATATGATAATTTTTACAAACTAAAAAGTTTGGTCTTAACTTCTGATTTTGAATTAGATCTCAATTCTAATACTCATAATGGGCAGAAACAGAAAAAAGATGAGTTTATTGTACAATTAGTAAACTCCCTATAGTATATGGATACTTTTTAACATAATAGTTAATAAATATATTGTTTTTGACTAAATAACTATTACAGTTAGTAACTTATAACACTGATTAAATAAACAAATGATTCTTACTATTATATATAAACAATGACTCTCTTTTTCTCTGATATTACATTTCAACATTTTAATGACAACTAAGCTTTTTGTATTTACTTTACAATTATGCACTGCTGAAGCAAATTTCCAAATGATTGAGTCAGCCAAAACCTAAAAGTAACTGACTGGAAAGAAAACAGTAACAAACCATGATCATCTTTGAAGGATTTGCTATACAAATGATCATCTATATATTAGTATTAATCTACTATTCTTAGTTAAATTATCTCCTGTATATTAGTACTAATTTACTATTCTTAGTTAAATTATCTCCTGTATATTAGTACTAATTTACTATTCTTAGTTAAATTATCTCCTGTATATTACTATTAATTTACTATTCTTAGTTAACTTATCTCCTGTATATTAGTACTAATTTACTATTCTTAGTTAAGTTATCTCCTGTATATTAGTACTAATTTACTATTATTAGTTAAATTATCTCCTTTATATGAGCACAAATTTACTATTCTCAGTTAAATTATCTGTATATTAGTACAAATCTACTATTCTTAGTTAATATAGTTTCTCTTATTTGCTTTGTTTAAATGTTATAAATTTTTGACACTCCTGTCAGCAATGACATCTTTATCTCAAAACACCTAAGCATTTTGTGTTCTTAACCTAGCAGGGATGCGTAGTTTGGCAGTTATAACAGAGCTATAAGTATATTTAAGTGTGTTAAAGAATAATACTCATACACATACACCAAGTTTCACAACAATGAGTAAAGTTTTGTTTATTTGTAAATTTTATTATTTATCAGAAAGGGATGCACACACCAATTAAAAAAAAATAATGGCTAGGAACATAATTAACACAGTTCAACACATACACAGATCTTAAAATTCTAGGCCTCTGTATATAAAACAGTTTGACCATCTGTCCTTCACAATTCATTACCATGAGTCAAGAGTATGTTCACGTAGAGTGAAAAAGATAATGAGTTGAACACTAATTAGTACAATGAAATGAGTTGGAAAACTATATATATAAGTAGCTGAATGATTTTCTTGTACATTACCACTAGAATAATTATATTGAATAAATTCTGATAAATTGGACTAACACGTATAAAACAAAAACAATACAGTTGATGATCCTCTCACCATTAGTTTTTTTCACATGTGTTGATAACTCTGGTTTGATGGATGTTTGTGTGTACTTTGTGACTATGCTTTCACTTGCACAGAATATAAATTTCTATTTTTTAAATGACGACCCTGTTCGCTTATCTTAAATGTCAGTAGGGTTCTTCTCTGTCTCAAGGGAAGTGACCTTTGAAATTCTGCTGTTTACAACACTAGTTATCATGCAAAAACCAAATTTTTGTGTACATCACCTGTCCTTTAGTTAGTGCTTTAGTTAGTTAGTCCTTCTTTGGATCTAAGGCAGATGCTCATAAAAACTTCCAGACAACAAGTTCAAAACTTTGTCAAAATCCAGCTTAAAAGAAGAAACTGAAGTTATTTCTTCAAATAGTGACCTTGAGTTGTGAAGACTGATTAAATTCTGATCTTTAGAACTGTAGCCATTGTGTGGAAAGTACATGTCTACTGACGGATGGACAATTCTAAGAATTTACACCATTGCTACATTTTTTCCTGACCATTTCAACTGGGGGGATGATAACAACAGAAATATAATCCTAACACTATCAGCCAATTAAAAGCAGTTCGGTATTTAGGTGTTAATTATATTAGAACTATTACATAATTATTTGTATTAAAGCTATGTTTATTGGGAATATTAATTTTTTCATTTACCATTAGAACCAGTCAATCTTAATTTACTTTATGAGTATTCATACTTGCAATTGTAGATCTCTGTGTTAGTTTTAAATAATTTCTGAGTATCATGGGCCACGTAAATCAGGGCGGGGTAACTGGATATTATGAGAATATAAGTGAAACATCAATTTCTTTTCTTCCTTCTCTACTTATAAAACATACATCATTCCTACCTTCCTTTTTCATCTTTTCCTCCAACTACATAAATAAATCCTGCTAACGCAGCAGCTCCATGATACACCCGAGCATATTTCATGTCAGATATCTTTTGCCATTTTTGACTTTCCAGATTGTATCTGAAACAGGATTTGCTTGCTACTAGTTTTCCATTTTTTGTTATTCTTGGATCATAGCCACCTAAAAATAATTTATCCACTACTATTAGCTTTGTACTAATGTTTATGAAATTTCTCCACAAAGTAATAGTTTTATACCTATATAAGAACTATATAAGAGTCTACACATCAATATAGCCAACATATAGTGCTAGTATATTTAGATATTTTCGTGAAGTCAAGAGATAAACCTATCATTTTGTATAGTGAAATACTTGCTTTCTTTATTAACAATATTATTTTTTTCATACACTTTACGACCACAGCACAATATTTAATTTGACTACTAGATCAAATATGTTATCCTAACAATTACCTGACAGTTATCCCTAAACAACTTTAGGTCACATGAGTTTAAATATTACATTTTTTAAATAAAATGAATTTTAAACAATTTTTTACTTACCTTTGAAATATTGGGAACTTTGTTTGTTAAGTTTGAACTTATCCTGTCAATAACAGATGTAATTTAAAACCTCCAAATGTCATTTATGTATTACAGAGCATGCATCATTTACCATAATTCTCAATTCTTCCAACTTCTGTGTGACTTACTGTTCAAACATAAACTCTACGTTCCTACCACAATTTAGATTTTATTGAAAGTCCTAGTCATGATGAAAATTTGTCTGTGGAGAGGTGGGAGGGAAGGTATTTCAAAGGTAAGTAGCTGTTTGTAATTCATTTTAATTCAAAAATCTAAATTTCAAATCAGATATTCTTACCTATAAAATACAGAATACCCACTTTGTAATGGAGGTGGCAATGAATGAACATAAATATAAAGAACTACACACTAAAAGTAGGTAGATAATAATCTGGAACATAAATATATAGCCATGCAGAGTTGGAGTAGAGTACAGAATCTGGAACATAAATATACAGCCATGCAGAGTTGGAGTAGAGTACAGAATCTGGAACATAAATATACAGCCATGCAGAGTTGGAGTATAGTTCAGTATCTGGAACATAAATATACAGCCATGCGAAGTCAGATGTACAAGCCCAGAATCTGGAACATAAATATACAGCCATGCGGAGTTGAAGTATAGTACAGAATCTGGAACATAAATATACAGCCATGCAGAGTTGGAGTAGAGTACAGAATCCGGTACATAAATATACAGCCATGCAGAGTTGGAGTAGAGTCCAGAATTTGGAACATAAATATACAGCCATGCAGAGTTGGAGTATAGTCCAGAATCTGGAACATAAATATACAGCCATGCAGAGTTGGAGTACGGTAACTTGCACCACAACTAATAGTGAATCACACACAGAATACTAGTATGATAGTAATATAGAGAAGATAGTTCGACTTGTCAACTGAAATTCTAAAATAATTGAATATGCCTAACTGGATATTGGAAAAGAAGGAGAGAACCATATATAGTCTTTATGATATGCCTGTATACTTACGTTCCAGATTCTGGACTCTACTCCAACACGGCATAGCTATATACTCCAACTCTGCATGGCTGTATATTTATGTTCCAGATTCTGGACTATACTCCAACTCTGCATCGCTGTATATTTATGTTCCAAATTCTGGACTCTAATCGTTTGGTCTTCTTTCTTCTGAAGATTCTTTGTTCCTTTTGTACCCAGGTTGATTCAGCTACTTTAGAATGACACTTTGACGGAATAAATTATTTTTCTTATCTCCTCTCCTACTGTTAGTCTTACTCTAACATATTGTTGCGTCAGCGAGGTCATGTGACTAGTATCACGCCACTCCTTCTCTCGAACCTTCGGGAATTATCGGGAGACTACTAGACTGGGGGGGTAGTCTGGTATATATATAAGATGGTGACAACGTGACGGGACAATGTGTAGGTAGTGAGTAATTGATCTGCAGTCAGAGAGTATTGTTGAAGTTAATGTTCGTTGTTATAGCGTTTGTTTTAGCGCGAATGTTGAAATTAAGTGTATCGTAAAGTTGTATTCGGAAAGAATAAACCAGTTTTATTAAGTAAGGACTTGTGTCGCTAAAGTTTAGTTGGAAAGAATTTACGGAAAAATTAATTAACAAACAGAGACGTAACAAATTGGTGTCAGAGAGTGGGATAAAAAAAAAATGGAAACGAGAAACGGCAAATCAAACTACAGCCTAGCAGACTTAATGGCAGCAATACAAGAACAGCAAAAGAAACAAGAAGAACAGGAAGAGAAATTACAACAGTTGTTAGAGGAAAAAGAAAAGAAACAAGAAGAATGAGAAAATAAACAAGAAGAACGAGAAGAGAAATTACAACAGTTGTTAGAGGAAAAAGAAAAGAAACAAGAAGAGAGACAACAGCAGTTGCAAGAAAACCTGCAACAGTGGCAGCTCAAACAGCAAAATAAACAAGAAGAGAAATTACAACAGTGGTTGGAGGAAAAAGAAGAGAAACAAGAAGAGAGACAACAACAGTGGCAAGAAAATCTGCAACAGTGGCAGCTCGAACGACAAAATAAACAAGAGAGATTACAGCAGTTGTTGGAGGAAAAAGAAAAGAAACAAGAAGAGAGACAACAACAGTGGCAGCTCAAACAACAAAATAAACAAGAGAGATTACAACAGTTGTTAGAGGAAAAAGAAAAGAAACAAGAAGAACGAGAGAATAAACAAGAAGAACGAGAAGAGAAATTACAACAGTTGTTGGAGGAAAAAGAAAAGAAACAAGAAGAGAGACAACAGCAGTTGCAAGAAAACCTGCA